AAAGAATATGACTATAGAGCGATTTTTTTTACTATATTTATATATAAATAGAAAAGCAAAATAAGATAATTATAAAGGAATATAACTATAAATAAATATAATTATAAAGAATTTGACTATATTAATATATATTATTTTTGAAAAATTCTAATTACTCAATAAATTATTATTAAATTTTATAAAAAAAATATATTGTATTATAGATATATATTATCAAAAGCTATTTAATAATGTAATTTTTTGTAATTACATATTTGAATACAAAATTTTTGCAATTTAAAATATTGAATAGTTTTAGATCAGATATATTATTATTGTTATTAATATCTTTAATCAATCTTGGAGTTTTATAAATAATAGTAACTTTAAAAAATTTATTTTTGATTTCTCCTAATTATATAAAATTTATAATAAAATTTAATAAATATAAAATTAAAAATACTTATCAAGTCGTATTTATAAATATCATCTGGATCCATTTTAAACTAATTTTTGATAAGATCAAAACCAAAAAAATTATATTTTCAATGAGATATACTATAACAATACATATTTGTAAACTTGAAAAAAAAAACAGTAAAAAACTTTTATAATAGAGATAATAATTGTAAAGATAATACAATAAATCAGATTGGTTCATAAATAGGTAATGAGATGAAATTGTCATTATCTTTTTAAGAATTCAGAAACCAATATGATTCCTCTTTTAAATATTCACTACTTCAATATTTTTAGTTTAGTTCTCATTTTCTCAATATATTCATTATTTTTCCATATCTTGGTATAATATAAACTGAATCTAAAAAATATGTATATTGTTCAGTTAACTATAATTTTAGATATCTGTAAAGTTCTGCATTTTCATTTTTCTTCACTGTATCATATCATCGTAGCAAAGTGAGTTTTAACAATTCCTGGTTTTTTTCGTTAAAAAATTCAGATAATAGCAGCACTTAAGTTAAATAATAAGTATTGTTAATATTATTTGAATATATGCATTGCTCAGTAACAAACCTGAAATATCTGATATTCATTTACAAAAAAAACAGGTGCTTCAAGAAAACTTCTATTACTCCTCGCACGGCATGACCAATGAACAGAATCCACTGTCCTTGACAATATAACCAAATCACCTAAGTCATCCGACGTATCGCTGGCCATGCAAAACCAGAATCCACTGCCTTCGTGTATTACAAGGGCAACATCTGTTTTCAAGAGACGTTATGCACGACAATACGAAATATGATTGTCACGTGTAATTTAAATTTAAATGTGAATTTCTAAACATGTCTGTCCTTGAATTCGTTAAAAAAACCTTCAAAATGTCGATTTCTTAATGTTTATTAGACATTTCAAACACCAAAAAGATGATAAAAGTTTGGCATGGGATCAATATACAAGCGCCTTGGCAACGTTATCTCAAGATTTCAACAAAGAAATTAAAACTTTGACCAAAAGGAGGAAAGATGAAGCCAAGGCACGTTGACATTAATTTATACATTCTATCCGTTATACCTTGATGTTGACACTTCAGTCTTTTGTAGAAATTGAAGTTGCAAAAAGGAAAAGAGAGATTTGGCTGAAAGTTGAAGTCGAGACTGCTGAGACTTTTTTGAAACAGAACTACGTTGTATTCAGGTCTTTAAAATTTTTGACTTACTTAATAGTTTTGACAAAATTTTCATTCTTGTTTGCTGACTGGTGTTATTTCATTCCTATAGCTAAAGAATCAAGTAGTTGATGCTAAAAGACATCATCTACAATTTAGCAAGTCCGATCAAGAGAACAAAACGATCCCATCGCTAATTTCAAATGAAGTAAACGAACAAGCTATGGCAGAGAGTGACGATGAAGATAATATGTCTCCATGTGAGGAATCAAGTATTAGGAGAGAAAGAAACCATTATCGAGAAAAAACAACAGATACTGCTGTACCTGCAAAGATGCGTCCAGACGTAAGGATACTATCATGTTGTCTTGAGCTTCGCATAGTAATGATCGATGTGATGTTTGCGTAGTAAATTCACTTTTCTTCTCAACATATAGGTCTCAAGTGATGATGATGAGCGTACACCCGAAGTTGACAACAACAGCCCCTCCTACCAGATTAATAAGAAGTCGAATGTATTCACAAACAAAGATCACGTATTGTTTTTAAAACAGTATGTATCCACTTTGATTAGTTTTGTAATCTGTGCAACCCATTAACCACCTTGTCTCTACAACTGCCTTTATGTTCAGGTACAATTCAATGATCAGGGAAAGCAAGTGGAAGTTAAGAAGTGGAAATTACGTTAAGGACATTATGATTGAGTTAGGAAAGCGTTGCAATTTCCATCAGTAAGTATCCAACTACAATAAATATGTATATGATATCCATATATGGATGATTAAATAAATGAATACATGTATTTAAGTGTTCGTTGATCTTAAAATCATTATCAAGATAGTCATAATAATTTCATCAGGATTTTGTAATAGAAAATTTATTTCGATATCTTTTCTTCTAATTTAATCTTTCAAACATAACCATCTAGAATTCCAAATGCATATTTTTTTGAATTACGTAGTCATTAACATTAGTTTAATATTACATTTTAGTCCATTACATTCTTTCATTTTCGACATTGAGGACAATTATACCCGCTCGACATTCACAGAAGAGGAGCTGGAAGAGATTTGCGCGGAAAATTGGAAGGACTTACCGGATTTTATCGGGACGTTCGCAAAAGTAGGTCTTTTTAATTTATGGTTTTTCTCGTTTGTATTTTTCGCATCCGTTAATTAGTCGAGTATTTTTTGACAGACATCAACAAGCGAAATCCGTGAGCAGCTGAACCGTTCTCACGTTAATCTTGGAGGAAATTACGAAACGAGCATTCATTATTCGTATGATTACGTAAAGGCTACCGTTGGGGATTGGTAAGAAATAGAAAACTTTTTCGCTATATTATGTCATTGTTGACGAAAAATTCATCCCAGGATCAGACTTATTGAAAAGAATCCAAATCCACTGACGATGGATTTGTCAGAAAGCTGGTTCCGTACCAACGTTTGGCGAGCGATTGACAACGTCTTTGACGATATGCCATATGTTTTCGTAGTTGGGTGAACAGTTTTGATTCTTATATGTTGATTACGTTGTATTGAATGCACCCATCTTTTTTTCTCTTCTGCTATAGTGAAGAAGTCGGCGGCGTTGCAACATCAGAACGGAAGAATAGGTATAGGATGCTTGGCAACGAGGTACCTATTTAGCGAAAAAAAATCGGCAAAAAAGGAGATGGATTCGTCCGATCTGTGGGTACGCAGACGTTGGAATGGGCAGCATCTGAGGCTGGAGTTCGCTGGGAAGGTCCAAACGGCACAAAATTGCTTAAAGAGGCTGGATTCAGCCTTCCGCGACAGCTAAAAGACATATTTATCAAGCTGGCAAGAAAAGTTGATTTTGATGAAGATAAAATCAGACAGCTCAACGTTCCCGGGTTTATACATGCTGGTTAGTTTATTTGGTTTGTTTTTTTGCAGGTCTCTTGACTGACGCCATTATTATATTATACATCAGGCGCAGTACTTATTAAAGTTAATCTCGATAACCCAAAAGGTTATGTCATGCGCTATGTAAAGGATACCCCGTGCGAAGTGTATGCTGACGTCAATGAATTTCCGAGATCTCTAGATACGCTGATCACAATCCTCTATGCTAAGGTTGGTCTTGTAATACTTTGCTATCGTCACATATTTAAACCTAACGCCTTTTTATCTATTTTGACAGGAAACAATACTGCGCACCATGAATGTTATCAAAAGCTCAGATGAACACCATGAGGAGGAAGCTCTGAAACGATGGAAGCGCTTAGGCAAAGCAAAGAGAAAACATAACCGTATAGAGCTTCCGGACTGTTATCCGACACCCAAGAAAAATCGCGGACCCAAGAAAACGCAGAAAGGTGCGGAGCCAGACAATGAATAGGGTGATAAAATTCGACATTGCCCCAACAATGACATACATGAATTATTTCGAGAGCTCGAGACTGACTATACGAGTAAATTTATTAAAATAAGCAACAATAGCTCATCTGTAAAGCAATGTGTGTAATTTTTGACTATTCGTAACTAATAAAAAATTGTTCATTTGCACAATCACCATAAGTTTAATACCAAAAAGTTATATAAGAAAAATAAGAGTATATACTAAAATAAATTTTATAAAATCTCTTTGGAAAATTAAAAGCAGATAATATTTTTTTATTTAATAATTTCTAATATTATATAATTTTTATTATTATAAAATAATACTTACTTAATTAATAAAAAATTATTAATATTTTAAATTATTATTAAAATTATAATTATATTTATTTATTATAAAAAATTTTTTTTGAGCTTATTTTAATTATTTAACAAACTAAATATATTATATATTATTTATTTATTGTATTTTAGTCATAAAATTCTTAGTTATTATATTATCTCTTTTAATTAATTAAATTATATAAAAAATATATTATATATTTAAAAGTTATAAATAATAACAAAGTTTAATACTTTATAAAAAAGAAATTTTTATTATAACAATAAATAACTTATATTAACAAATAATAATTATTAATAAAAAAATTTTTTGTAAATAATAATCATAAAATAATATTTATCTTTAATTAATCAAACTGAATTTAATATACTAATTGAAATTAAAGTAAAATAACTTTTGAAAAACTAAAAAGAAAATCTTATCAAAAAAATAATAACTTAAAAATTATATTTGATAAATTTTACAAAGAATATTCAATAAATAAAATTATTATTAATTTACTGAAATTCTTATAATAAAATAAACAAAATATTTAAGTATATATATAATATTTAATAAAAATTATATATATAATTTTATAGTAAAAATCAAAATTTTTGTTTTATATAAAAGTTTTCAATTTATTAATAAATATTTTTTATTTTATATTAAAATAAAGATTATAAGTTATATTTTAATATATATTTTTCTGAATTTTTAGAATTTTTAGATTCTTTCTGATAAATTTATTTTAATTGCAAAATTATTGCAAAAATTTTTTATAATTAATTTTATATTTTAATTATAAAAAATTTTTGTAATAACTTTACAATTAGAAAATCTTTGTCAAAAAAATCTAAAAATATATAGTTAAACTTCTTTATAGTTATATTTATTTATAGATATATCACTTTATTTTGCTTTTTTATTTATATATAAATATAGTAAAAAAATTATTCTATAGTTACATCCA